CATCGTATTATTCAGCAGGGGATGATAGGGGGGCAAAGAGGGTGTAACTACCATGCCATGGATTCATTTTCAGGGTGGCCGATGGAACAAAATCATCAGGGTGAGGGGGGCGAGCGGTCATTCATTGTCCCTGGGTGCGTGGCTGAAGTGTGGATCCGTGGTGAGGATTCTGCTAGTTGTTGCTGTTGTTGTTGTTGTTGTTGCTGTTGCTGTTGCTGTTGTTGTTGTTGTTGTTGTTGTTGGAAAAGGCGTGCGTGGGAGCCCCGCCCCCCCCCCAGCAACCGAACAACCCTCTCTGGGGGTCTCCTGGAGGCGCCAAGGATTCCTTAATAGGATTTCCTGGGACGTCTATAGGCTTCCACAGGAATTCCATAGACCTCCCTCGGAATTCTACTGGCCCCCATCGGAATTCTATAGGCCCCCATAGGAATTCTACAGGCCCCCATGGGAATTCGATAGGCCTCCATCGGAATTCGATGGGTCTCCATAGTAATTCTACAGGTATCCATAGAAATTCTATATAAGCCCCCATAGAAATTTTGTCGGCTTCCATCGGAATTTTATCGGCCTCCCTCGGAATTCTGTAGGCCTCCGTGGGAATTCTATAACGCCCGTCGTCGTCGCCGTCGCCGTCGTCGTCGTCGGTTTCGTCGCCCCGCCACCGCGCGCCACCTGGCGTGCCCGCCTGGTGGGAGGGGCAGGGAAATAGAGGGACATTGGCGGGGCGGAGGACGATGCCGCCGACGACGACAATGACAATGATGATGATGGTGATGATGACGACGACGATGATGAGGATCCAGATGAAGATGATGATTATGATGAGGATGATGATGAGGATGGTGATGATGAGGATGACGTGGATGAGGATGATGATGACGGTGATGATGATGGCGACGACGACTACGATGATGATGGTGATGATGACGACGACGATGATGAGGATGGTGATGATGAGGACGACGTGGATGAGGATGATGACGATGATGATGATGATGATGATGATGATGATGATGATGATGATGATGATGAGTAAGACGAGGTGGACGATGATGCTGATGATGAGTAAGACGAGGTGGACGATGAGTAAGACGAGGTGGATGAGGATGATGATGAGTAAGACGAGGTACAGTCTGTATCGGATCTGTTTAGAATCCCATACAGTCTGTATTGGATATCTACAGGATCCTATACAGTCTGTATCGGATCTCTATAGGATCCTATACAGTCTGTATCGGATCTACAGGATCCCATACAGTCTGTATCGGATCTCTATAGGATCCTATACAGTCTGTATCGGATCTGTACAGGATCCTATACAATCTGTATCGGATCTCTACAGGATCCCATACAGTCTGTATCGGATCTTTACAATATCCCATACAGTCTGTATCGGATTTCTACAGGATCCCATACAGTCTGTATCGGATATGTATAATATCCCATACAGTCTGTATCGGATTTCTACAGGATCCCATACAGTCTGTATCGGATATGTACAGGATCCCATACAGTCTGTATCGGATATGTATAGGATCCTATACAGAATGTATCGGATCTCTACAGGTTCCCATACAGTCTAGATCGGATATATATAGGATCCTATACAGTCTGTATCGGATCTCTACAGGATCCCATACAGTCTGTATCGGATATTTAAAAGATCCTATACAGTCTGTGTCGGATCTCTACAGGATCCCATAAAGTTTGTATCGGATCTGTATAGGATCGTATACAGTCTGTATCGGATCTATATAGGATCCTAGACAGTCTGTATCGGATCTCTACAGGATCCCATACAGTCTGTATCGGATCTGTATTGAAGCGGCGGCACGCTGGCACGCATACGTTTTTTTACCCATTGGACCACGCCAAGGTCCGCAAGGGAGTCCAAGGGAGGTACAGTTTTTTTTGGGGGGGTGCTGGTTGCTGTTGCTGTTGCTGTGGGGGGGGGTCAGAATGCGTCCGAGGGGCTCTGAGCGCAGCCTTCGCAATAAGGCGAGGGCGGGTCCGGACGGCTAGAGCTCACGGGGCTCCCACGCACGCCTTTTCGTTGTTGTTGTTGACGTCCCCCCCGCGACCCGGCCCGCGACCCACCCGCGACCCACCTCGCGACCCACCCGCGACCCACCCCGCGACCCAACCGTGACTCATTCGCGATCCACCCCGCTACCCGCTCGCGACCCACCCGCGACCCACCCGCGACCCACCCGCGACCCACCCGCAACCCACCCGCGACCCGGCCCGCCACCCACCCGCG